AAAGTGCAACTTGTAAAAAGTGACAAAGTAGAACACCAGCCACAAAAAGCAAGATGTTACACCTTCAAAATTGACCCTGCAAATCAAATCGTCATTCTATTACGATATATATATATATATATTAATGCATAAAAGCCTGAAGTACAATTTATTCTAAATAATTTCTGAATATATATTAGTTTGCGACCCAGATAAATTTGACTGTATATTTGAACGCAAGCCCTTGTTTCTCCTTCTACTCCAAGCTGCCGACAATGCTATGCATACACATCAATATGCCGTGGCAGACCAGTTGGGTGACACTGTTCACGCATAGTAAACGAAATACGTTTGGAACCAACAAGAATATAAATGTGCTTGTCATAAACTACAAATGCTCATAAAAGCTACTTCGAAATTTATATTGAGGTTACAAGTGAAGTCTTTAAACAAGTGCTTGTGTATCAATATTGACACTGTGAGGAGAAGCTGAAGTTCATTTGTATATTAATATAATTACGTAGTACGAGTATAGTGTAACTACAGACGGGGTTTGGATTGCTGACTCGATATTTTTTTTTTCCTTGGCACTACAGCCCCAGTGGGCCTAGGCCTACCTCCATGAACTTCTCCGTTCACTTCGGTTTTTCTAGATCTTACACATTCGGTAGGACTCCTTGGGCGGGTGATCAGCTCGTCGCAAGGCCTCTACCTGTATACCAACACAGAAAAACGCACACACACAAGCTAAACATCCATGCCCTGAGTGGGATTCGAACCAACGATCCCGGTTTCCAAGCGAGCGAAGACAGTTCATGCCTTAGACCACTCGGCTACCGTGACCGGCGGTGACTCGATATATTGACCACTTATACACTCACCACTCGTGACTACACTTTACAGATAACTGACACACACAGACTAGTGTCCTCAGTCTATTACAGTCCTCACTAGCCGTTTTCTGGCAACGGATTTTAACACAGGAAGTATAACAGTCTCACAAAAGAGCAGACCCAGAAAAGATATCCGTTGTTAGGTAACGGCATGGTAAACCCTTTTCCGCGTTAACGAATAACCATAAAACGGAGGAATCGTAGGAAGAGGTGTTTTCCATGTGGTCCGTGCCGAGATTATACGAGGATAAAGAACTGGAGTTTTTAGTAAAACCCGTGTGGAGGCGGGGTCGAATACCTCCACCGTGACCATGCGAGTCGTAGGAGGCGACGAAAAGGGAAGTTTCAAATCTGAGACAGTAAAATAAGGTCGCGAGTCCCAAGGGACTAGGACCTGAGAAAGACTGCGCTGGCAAGGGTCAGCGGCATATACAAAAGCGAGACCCGATTTTTTTTTCAGTAAGTCCCCGCGTGGAGGGCTCGTGAAGTGGAGTCATAACCAAGAATACCACGATATGAATATTCACTGCGTGGAAACTTCAAATAGACTATAACAGTTGAATCCAATTGATTATCCATCTTTTGAAGTTCTGTTTCAATATTATCATCCAAGCCATGTCTAGGTCTCTGAAATATATTAAAATTTAGAGGCTGACAACCTTACCGCCATCTATGAGCCGATTGTCTAGATAATGTGGGAGCCTCAACGTCTCACAACCCTATGGGCCTTCCCGGTCTGTCACAGGGATAGCTTTAACTTTTTTTTTATTTATGACCCTACTCATAAATCCAACTAAGTGAGTGGAAACGAGAGTACAGCCAAGTAACGATATATCGTTTATAACAAAAATACGTAATGTACAACACGAGAGCAGTGTAATGAGTCGTCGGTATTATCGTTCACAGGATTTTGTCTTACCAGAATGTTCCGACTCCAAGGTTCAAATTCAATTGGCCCTTAAGATGGACTTAGGCCTACATCCAACATACTTAAACATATTGACCTGTTCAATTGGTTAGTCATTCAGTGTATTTCAGCATGCCTGAACCTTTACTTTCCCACTGTCTGTTTTCATGCTATATTCCTCTGATACGTTGAAAAGTGTAAATATGCCTTTTTTAAATATTAATGCAAATTATCATCTGATCGTGTTATTATCCGATCATTACATGATAATACTGATTCACTAGTGCAACAACCATTGAGAATTCACTTCAAGTCTCATCAGTTGTCATACGCCGTGTACCAAATGCTTGAATAAACTGCACCAAGTGAAGACGATAGGGCCTCATTTCGAGCCTCTTTCGCGACACCCTCCATGCAGTCATGGTCGACATCTCCAACTCACGACTCGCATGGAGCACAGATTTCTTCGGACCGTCTCACTCGTTCCACAACTTCTTCTGACACACGAGGCAGTCCTGCTCTCTTCCCTTTACAAAGGCACCTCGTTGTCTTAAACTGCTAATACCAACGCCTAATGCTGTTGGCAGATGCGGGATCACTGTGAAATTTTCGCCGGAAGGCCCGCTGGAGAGAAACAACTGATTCGTGCTTCGCAAACTGCAGCCCACAAAACGCTTTCTGCTCCAGAGTGGCCATTTTCTCTTTGTAACGTCACGGACCGAGAGAAGGGGAAAGTAGAACTGAGCATGCGTTCGAAACTTGAATACCTCTTGATTTGTTCCATGTGAGAAACATATTTCTACGTGCATTTACAAAGCCATTATGGCCGCTTGAAACCGTTCCAATCATTTTGGTACACGCTGTATACGCTTTCGTACTATTACCTTCCCTTGCTTTCTCCCGTACTCCCTTCCAGTCTTACGCGTTTTTTTTATGAGAGGGGGTGGGTTTCCCCATGCACTTAGACCAGTTATTGGTCCATTGTGCGTCCCCCTTTTAATTTCTACTGTCGCCATACCCTACCGGTAACGGTGCGTACCATCAGCCCACGTAGAGCCAACGAGGTCGGCCCCCGGCACCTTGATGCTTCCCCCATCCACCAGAGGCATTGGAGACTACTTGAGCGGGAAAGGGCCTGTAATTTAGCTCAGAGGTCTCCTAGAGACATGAGGTTCTTTTACGTGCCGTAAATCTACGACACGAGACACACGGCTTAAAGTCCCTCCCGGAGGACTTGTTCCCTGATTTTTTCTGCCCTTAAAAATTCCACGACCTCCGCCGGGTTTGAACCCGCGTACCTTGAGTCATGAGGTGGGAACGTTACCCCTAGACTACGGAGGCCGCTTTTCTTACCGAATAATGTAACGAGACCGGGGTTTAAGTCTATATCCCACCAATAACACTCTCAAATAGTAAATCATAACTCGTCTACATTTTACAGTATAGTACACGTCATACAGGGTGTCCAAGGGGTTTGGTGCCATACTTCAGGAGCGTACTGAGAGTTCCCTATAGAATAACTTTGAAATTGGAACCCATGACCGCAAACGTAAAATAGCAGCGCTAGGGCGATATTTAAAATCATTTCCTTTAAACTTGGTGCCTCAATGTCGAACTGCATTGCACAGAGGAGCAGCCATCCACCAGCACTCGTGCCATTGCCAAGATTGTGGGGACATCAAAATCAAATGTTTGGAGGATACTGCATGACCAACAACTTTATCCGTATCATCCAACGCGAGTACACGACGTAGGTCCAGCTGACTTCGTACCATGAGTTCAAATTTGTCAGTGGATACTGAACCAGTGTTTACATCAGCCCAACTTCCTGAATCACGTGTTCTTCACAGACGAAGCGCAGTTTACAAGGGATGGCTGGTTCAACTGTCGAAACAGCCACGTTTAGGCTGACAAAAACCCCAACGTTTCTGTAGTTGGTTCCCACCAGGCGCAATTTTCTGTCAATGTCTGAGCGGGCATCATTGGCGATCACTTGATTGGGCCTTTCCTCCTACCACCGCGACTCAATGGGCCCTTTTACAATGTGTTCCTGGAACGTATCCTCCCGACTTTACTATAAGAAGTGCCACTGATTGTGCGGAGGCAAATGTGAATACAGCGTGACGGAGCGCCGGCACACTTCAGCATTGTATCACGAGACTACCTGGATTCTGCTTTTCATGGTCGTTGGATAGGAAGAGGAGGCCCAGTGCCTTGGCCACCCCGATCCCCAGACTTGACACCTCTGGACTATTTCATCTGGGGCCATGTGAAAAGCCTGATCTACGACACGCCTGTGGATAATGAATTCGAGCTGTTGGCCAGAATACTTGCTGCATGTGACGTGATCCGTGAGACACCTGGAATATTTGAAAGGGTGCGCCAAAGTTTCTTTAGCCGATGTAACGCATGCATTGGAAATGGAGGGCGCCAATTCCAACATCTACTCTAGCAGGTGAGTCTTGAGAGTTTGGAGGGGGTAATATGCCTGTGCATGCTCTTCGACATTGAGGCGCCAAGTTTAAACAAAATGATATTAAATGCCGCCCTAGCGCCGCTGTTTTACGTTTGCGGACATGGGTTCCCATTTTAAAGTTTTTCTGTAGGGAACCCTCAGTACGCTCCTGAAGTATGGCACCAAACACCTCGGACACCCTGTATAACGTAAAAGGGAGAATTTTCCTTGTGCTTAATTAATGAAATACGAACATATGCGGATGTATGGGGGGTGTGGAGTTGCAGGTTCACTAATCTTAACCTCGCCACTAGATGGAGTTTAGTGGTTAGCTTCAGGTCTCTGCCACATCACCCCCGGTACCCATTAGATAGGTGGCTGGGTGAGCCCCAGAGACAAATCAGACTCTGTGGAGGAGAGAAAAACCTCTTGCCGTTGCCTCGAATCGAACCTGTTTCTCGGCCATCCGACATGTAGCCCGTCGTTATACAGACTTAGCTATCTCGGCTAATATATCCAGATCAAAATATTATCAGTATTCATAAGAGTAAATACAATATATTGAAACAAAAGACTGTTGGCTCGTTCGTGACCTACTTCAAAAATTATGCTCATGTAACATGTTAACGATAGACAACTCGTTGCTATGGTTACCTGAAATTGCGTAATGACAATGATAATTTCACGCTCTGATACCTTTTCACGAATCGTCCGCAGTTGTCCACTCACAAATGATAAATGTGAAGTTTTACAGTTCGGTACTTACCGCCCATGACGCCGTAAGTGAGCATGAGAACGTTGACGTTGGGCGAGAAGGTGCTGAGAATGAAGGCGGCACATCCGATGATGCTTCCTGCTATACAAACAGTACGACATCCGAACTTGTTGGTCAGCGCGCTCACCACGGGTCCTGCAACAGGCCAGTTAGGAAGTGCTTACTGATACCGTTCGCTATACAGGATGTTTGAGAACTCGGTGCTGAGGAGGACGTTCGCACCGAAGTGGGACGATACAGTAGGAAGATGGAGCAAACTGCACGATGAGGAGTTTCATAACTTGCACTCTTCGATAAATATAACTAGAATGATCGAGTCGAGGAGGGGGGCACGTATCACGCACAGGGGAGAAGAAAAATGCTTATAGGATCTTCATGAGAAAGTCTGAAGGAAAGAAACCACTATGAAGACCTAGAGGTAGGTTGAAGGATAATATTATGACGGATCTTAGAAAAATAGTATGGGTGGTATGAACTGAATTCATCTGGTTCAAGATAGGGACCAGTGGAGAGCTCTTGTGAACACGTTAATGAACATTCAGGTTCAATAAAATGTTGCAAAATTCTTGGGTAACTGCGGAACTGGTGGCTTTACAAGAACCACTAGGCTCTATAAAGTGATTAGTTAATACTGTTCACTGACAACGTTAATATTAATATCCACTTGCTGCATACAGGTATGATCAGAACTGTACTGTACGACTGTGGCTATGAAGAGTACTGAGATGTGATGCCGTGTAGACTTGCAGATGTTTGCCGACATTTTTCAGGAATGTACTGCTTCCATCTTCAGGGTCCAAGAGTAAGCAAAGTAAGCAAGTAGCAAGAAATAAGCAGCAAACAGAGCAAGCATATTTCTTCCTTCTTTATGAAGTTCTATAAAACCCGAAGGTTCATTACCGTGTTCACAATAGCCCTCTGTCTCCATAACTAGGGTCACTTGAATCCAGTCCACACACTCATACCATATATTTTAAGTCACATTTTAACTTTTCAGTCTCACCTACGCCTAGGCGAATTCTTCCCTTAGTCTCTTCTGACAACCATTCCTTTTTTAAATACCTTCCCTACACCGTACGCAATTAACGCCTTTATGTATAACTGAAATAGAGGAGACATGAGCATCACACACTATGGCATTCGCGAGTACAATCTGTACATGAAAGGGTATGAGAAATTAAAGTGTCAGAAATGTAGGTTCACTGTTGACACTTTTTGCAAAAAGTGTAGCAATGTTCAGAGCACCTAATATAAATGGTATTTTTAGGTTACACCTTTATATACATTAGCTAGATAGATAGATCGGTGGGTGTGTGGGTGGATGGATGGATGGATAGATAGATAATTTTTTTTTTATTATTGCTAGTGGGGTGGGACTAAGTCCCTTGTACTGCGGTCACTTCTGGCCTATTGTACCAGCCCCAGATGATAGGTGAGGGTGATTGTGGAGCAATTGGTGGAATTAAGATTGGCCGGGGAAACCGAAGTTCTCGGAGAAAACCTGCCCCAAGGCCACTTTGTCCACCACAAATCCCACTTGACCAGACCCGGGATCGAACCGGGGCCGCCGCGATGGGAAGCCAGCGACTAACCGCTTGAGCTATGGCGCGGCCCTAGATAGACAGATAGAAAGTAACATACAGAGCTAACTAGAATCTTGTGCAGTAATACCAAATGTACCGCGAACCGGCAGCTGTTCACAGCCCACCAGTTGAGAAACACTGCAATGAGAACAAACAGCAAATTAGTGTTTACAAACTGCGGCCCCCGTTCTTGGTGTTGTAATTGTGGATAAGTGACGACTGTGAAGAAGTGGTTCGTGTTTGAAGAAGCTCTCAGATAAAGGTACAAGAGCCTCGTTCGAGAACGGCACTAACCTCTCTCAAGTCCCCCCCCCCCGATGAAATCAATTCTACGGAGACAAATCAGCCAACTGCATTGAATCTAGCGAAGATCCACGGAGTCTGCACGTGATAACGCATCTGGCTTCTATGTCAAAGGTCCCTACATGGAATCCAGGGACTAATTGTCATCACTAGCAGATTTTATGACTCGCCTCCCCAATAGGCCCACCACACAGCAGCAACGCGACATATTTACACGCGGTCCCCCTCTAGTGCTGTGTCTGTGATCTGAGCAATGGCGACTGCTGCCATCTTGAAATTCCACCAGTTGGCATCTTGGTTAAAACGCCTCAGAACGAGAAACTCTTGTCCCTCTTGTTTTAGAACCTTCAAATGGCGAATGTTGGTAACTTTAGGACTTGTGAACGACTGGGAGTGCTGGATTTATGTGCAAATAGATGAAACGAGGCATTCACGTCCATTAATATTCATGAGACGAGGCACTCGCCTGCACTGAGGTACATGAGACGAGGCACTCGCCTGCACTGGAGTACATGAGACGAGGCACTCGCCTGCACTGGGGTACATGAGACGACACAGTCACCTGCATTAAGGCACATGAGACGAGGCACTCACCTGACCTGAGATACATGAGACGACGAAATCACCTGCACTGAGGTACATGAGACGAGGCACTCACTCACCTGCACTGAGATATATAAGATGAAGCAATCATCTACATTGAGATGCATGAGACGTGGCATTCACCTGTACTGAGGTACGTGAGACGAGGCGTTCACTTACACTGAGATACATAAGACGAGGCATTCACCTGCATTAAGGCACACGAGACGAGGCACTCACCTGCACTGAGATACATGAGACGAGGAAATCACCTGCACTGAGGTACATGAGACGAGGCACTCACTCACCTGCATTGAGATACATGAGACGAAGCAATCACCTACACTGTGATGCATGAGACGAGGCATTCACCTGCAATGAGGCACACGAGACGAGGCACTCACCTGCACTGAGATACATGCCGGAGAGCAGACTGCCGACCCAAGCCGTCTTGCCCTTTCCTTCCCCGAAGAATTTGACGAATTCGCCCAGGAAGACGCCAAAAGTATAGGCTATTCCATCCACGATCATGTTGCACATGAAACTGGCAAACACCACCACCCACCCGTATCCGCCATCTGGGGGCGGCGGCAGGTCATGGTATTCGCAATATGAGATACCGTCTTCATCAGGGGGACTGCATTCCGGATCTCCACCGCCCGTACCGTCCGCTGCGAGGGTCAGCCGCGCTGTTTCTTCTGCCCGATCAGAACACGAGCATTCGCTCTCCGTCTGAAATCAATCGAAACAAGTTGTTTAAAGCCATCCTCTTCCCTGGAGGAATGTCATGGTTAACTCCACAGAGCAGAGTCCTTCAGTTACTCAAGAAATTACCCGCTATTTACACTGTCCAGTGGGTACATATTGGAGGTGCATTGTACAGGTATGTTGTTTATGTAATACCCTTATGTGCTTATTAATTAAGCACCATGCCATGAAGCCGTGTTGGGGAGTGGAGGTAGAGCTCCAGCATCCTTGATCTCGGCACTAGATGGAGATGAGTGGTTAGCTTCACGTCTCTGTCGCATTACTACAGGGGGAATAACCCTCGGTGCCATCTATGAGCCGACTGTCTAGACAATGTGGGGGCCTCGACGTTTCACAACCTTATGGGCCTCCACGACTGTTACAGGGATGTCTTACCTTATTTTAACCATTTGATATGAAGCTGGGTGGACCCCAGAGCCGGTCTGGATGTAGTGGAGAAGATAAAATCATGCACCTTCCGGGCATCGAACCCCAGCCTTCCAGACCGTACCATATTTCTATAACGACTCAGCTAATTAATTATGCCCTACGCCATGAAGACATATGGGAAGATGGAGGTATATCTCCACTGTTCTTAATCTGGACACTAGATAGAGACGGTGAGTGGTCAGTTTCGCGCCCCGGCAGCTTTAACCTCGTCACCAACTCTGGGGTCTAATAAACGTGTAATATTTTGATGAACTAAGGAGGCCAACATTCTTTTAAATGTTATTCTTCAACTGCGTATGTATGCACAATTCAGAAATAATATACATAATGGCCCGAAAGTCAGTTAACTGGTTAGTAAAACGTACATTGAAATACTTCAGAAATTTCTTTAAGTACTTAATTTATAAAAACTGTTTTCAATGCACAACTCCTAACGCTGCGATACCGTTCTACAAACCGACTGGCGGGTTTAAATCTGAACATTTCCGTTAGCACGTGAGAATATTTCGGGTCACACGATATCGTCTACGGGAGACCTCGGGTCAAAAGATGGCTAGGACATCGGTTCTCCGTGTCTTTCTCAGTCCCCCCAGACAAAGGTCAGAAAATTATCTTAAATTTGACTGTCACAACGTCTCTCTGTATCATTTCGAATTGATTATAAAACAGTCACCCTAATATACGCGCTATACAGTGTGAGATATTGAGGCTGTCGTTAAATGAGTGACAGATATCATTAATTACCGGGGCACGCGGTAGCGTAGTTGGTTCAGAAACTATGCTACAAGCGGGATGGTCGCGGGTTCGATTCCTGATGAGGTCATTTGATTTTTCAATTGACCTAATCCTTCCAGCCGCACTATGGCCCTGGGGTCGACTCAGCCTCTAACAGAAATGAGTACCAGGAATCTTCCTGGGGGCAAAAGGGGGCCGGAACGTAAGGCTGACAACCTTACCGCCATCTGTCAGCCGACTGTCTAGAATGGGAGTTTCGACGTCTCAGTTATATGGGCCTTCAAGGCCTGTTACAGGGAGAGCTTTACCTCTTTTCTTGCTTTTTATCATTAATCACCAGATTAAGTATACAAAATAATTGATTCTTCGGTTATTTTAAGATGTTGTTTCAAATGCATTGATTATGTAACGCGAAATGATAATTGTGAATGATGAATTGGGAACGAAGTGGAATGAAACTGCTGGCACATAGCACGCTCATGACCGTAGCATTTTAATACTGCTTTAGAATTCACCTACAGCTACTGATGATATGACATAAACGTCGGTCAGCATAGCCGGTCCAGGGAAAAGGGAATTCTGAATGGCATTAGAATTCATATACATCGAGTAAGATTTACGCAGTAGACTTACAATATAAATTCAGATAATATTTACTTCATGAGCTTCCAGTACAATGACTTTCTTTTATTGCTAGTGGGGTGGGACTAAGTCCCTTGCAATGCAGCCACTTCTGGCCTACTGTACCAGCCCCAGATGAGAGGTGAGGGTGATTGTGGAGCAATTGGTGGAATGAAGATTGACAGGGGAAACCGAAGTACTCGGAGAAAATCTGCCCCAGCGCCACTTTGTCCACCACAAATCTCACTTGACCAGACCCGGGATCGAACCCGGGCCGCCGCGGTGGGAAGCCAGCGACTAACCGCTTGAGCTATGGCGCGGCCCTCCAATACAACGATATAAAATTCTGTGCTTTTACTCAATACCAGAACATTGTAAATCGATCATCCTGATTGATGCCTATTGACAGAATATCGGAACATCGTAAATCGATTAGCCTGATCGATTTATAGTGACAGTTCATAATGCAATATATACTCCTATGTTGACCTTTGAGCAATATTTTGCAAACAGATTTCACACATATGTTCACATCAATCGCATGAGTAAGGCAAATTAATTAAAACTGATAAGATTAGAAAGTTAAACTGAGCACAAATAAGCCTTTAGGTAGTTAGGTACATTTTCAATCCACTTGACTCCAATGGTGCCGCTCGCTCTGTCTTTATTTCCTTAATCAGTACGTACATATCATATTTGAATTATGTCACACACTTTCCCTTTACAGAACTCTGACGCTCACACTGTGCGTAACAATGGTTCCTAATCTGTGGGCCGCAATCTCACATGGCGGGGGGGGAGGGGGGAGGCAAAGAATTTTGAGCCAAATCGCGCTGTGACAATATCTGTGATAAAACGACTAGAAGACCGGATATCTTGACATATCTTTCGCGGTTTTCCCAAGTACTAAAGGAACTAAAGACGCCAATTAGGCCAACCGTATCAGCATGGAAAGAATTTATAACTCTCGGTGACAATGTCACGATGGGTACAGGGGGAAAAATGGCCGGGGCGTGAAACTAACCACTCACCTCAAACTAGAGCCGAGATCAAGAAAATATGGATCTATACATCCACTCCCACATACGCCTTCATGGCGTCGTGCTTAGCTAGCGACAACTTTACTTTTTCCTTTTATTTCACTGGAGATAATGTCGGAAATTTTTTGAAATTCAGTCCCTCTTGATACTGCTGATCTTCCTTAAAGGCTTCATAACATTTCGTAGCCACGAAAACTTAAAATCGAATAAAAAATACTCACATCCGAAATCAAGATATTATCTTCGTCACTCATAGCAGGAAAATCATGAAACAGCAGAACCATTGCATTATCTCCGAGCCTTGATACCACACTAAGCCTCTCTCAAGGTTACAAAGTCTTGTCTCTGTTTGTCAGATGTCTGTAGGATAATTCTTATACATGAGGCTTCATTACAACAACCTATAAATATCACATAATGTATTATTTTCCTTAAAATAAATTAGAAATAAATGAATTAATTTTAAACGCGCAGTCTAACGGTTATAAACTAATTTCTTTGAAAAAAGTACAAAAAGTAAAGCTATCCCTGTACCAGGCCGTGAAAGCCCATAAGTAGATTCTAAAGAGCTCTGACGATGGTGTATAACACTCAGAATTAGTGGGTTTTCGGACTTTGACCATCGTCCTGTATTCTAGGTAGACGGCGTTACCGGTAGGCACTACAGATCTTCAATTTTTTTTCCATTTTTTCTATGCATTGGTGGTCATGAACTTGGTTTTGTTGACTAGGCTTGTAGCATAAATTTGTACCTCCTTTTCTGTCCTAGTTCTACGCCTGTGCATGCTCTATCACAATTTCTATTGCATATTGTCTTGTCGTCTCCCCCCGAATTAGCCTAGTCTCAGGCGACTAAACAGATGTAGTGAATCTGACAGGGGTTGTCCAGGGATTAAGGTTAGCTCTTTGTAAGGGAGCCAACTGAGTAGGTGTTTTCACCCCTCGTCTGAGGACGGAAACAGATCCAGTTTCCGAAACGTTGTATTTTCTAGTATCTAGAATACCGGACGATGGACAAAGTCCAAAAACCCAGTAATTCAGTAATTCTAATTTCTTGAAGAATACTGGGTTCTGAGATGATAAACCGGGTAGACTTCAGAACTTCACTGAAACTTCAGAGGAATGTGCTGCCTGAATCTTCAGGTAACTATTACTTCTACCTTGAAGACAGGAGCAACATATTCCTTCAAAACATCAGTAAACATCTATCAGAATTTTTATTCACTACTTTCAGTTCCTCGAACCTTGGAACTAACTGCAATCCTAGAAACCTTCATAAGTCAAAGGAATTTTACTTAAAAAACTTTTCAGACAGGGAACAATTTCATTTTTATTACAATTTAAAGTAAACAATTTACTAAGGGAGGCGCCTAAGTACATTCCAATTTAAAATGTGTACGTAGTAATTACTATTAAAACTCATTTATAAAATTCGCATTTACTTAAATTAATTGTCATTTATTTCTGAAGTGCCCTGAGGAAATCGCAAATTAAGTTGTTCAGAACACCAGATTGGTTACTTTGTTAAAAAAAGTCTCCGAAATCGCGTTTAAATTATGAGAATTTGGAACTGTTTTCAAAAATCCACTTGGGACGCTTTAATTATGTTAACATTCAATTAATTGCTAATTTTAATGTCTAAACACTGCTACTTAGAACTGAGCAAGCTCACGTATAAAACTTTATTTTTCATGAAATATTCACTAAAAAAATCACTCGTATACATATCTATTGGGTTATAAAAATTAAATTCTTATTCAGAGCTCATGAACACTGCCAAGCAACTATTTTAAAAATTCTTCAAAATTGTCAAAAACATTGAATATTTATCACCAACTACACAGGTTAATATGGAATATAAAATTTAGTTTATATTATTCCAACGAAATGACTGCAATACGTTTTCCCACAACGCCACGCCACGATGTTCAGCACAGCTCAAGCACCAGTCGGCAACTAAGTACAGTTCACACATATGAAATCCGCGATACGGCAAATAAGAATGGAGGAAAATATGCAGAACTTAGACATGCATCACGCCACGGTTCAGAACGGAGATGCCAATTAGCGTGAATAGTGTAATCATCTCTGTAGTTACCGCGAAAACTTATAATCCCACAGGCCAGTGTTTCTCAACCG